TAAAAATTTTTAGAAACTTTTTCAAAGTTTAAATTTTTGAAAATATTTGAGAAAAAAAGAAAAAAAAACTGCATAATTTATTTGAAATTTAATTTCAGAGAAACATTTAAACTGACTCTTTGAAAAGAGTCAGTTTAAACCTTTTTATCTTTGAAATTTAAATTTGTGTAAAAAGGAAAATGAAATCTGAATACTTACATGAATTTCAGAGTAGTATTGAAATGGGTATTTTTCGATATTTTCTGGTGTAATTTCACGTTCATTATTTTTGCTGAATGAAAATCCAAGTATTGTAAGACCGGAGATCAGAATGGTACATAAAATTAATGGTAAGAGCAAACAAAATCGTGCAAGAAACCATCCTGGATTAGTACCATACCTTGAAAAAAAAAATAAACACGCCAAAGTCGCTAAATTACTTTTTACTGAATTGATTTTCTTTTGAAACGTGTCAATTTCTAAAATTTCTGAAAGCTTTCTTAAATTTCTTTTTCAAACACCAAATTTAAATTTCAAAGATAAAAAATTTTTGGTAAGGCTTACTTTTTTACAATTAAAAATAATATTATCCAAATTAAAATATGTGCAACACTTAATGAAAAAACGGGAAATTCAATCGAAAATTTCCCCATAACGTTGGGATCTTCAAAGTACCATGCGTTTGGTACCCAATTGGATAGATTAGTATAATGTGGTAATTGTCGAACTCCATATCTAAAAATGTGTGGTTAGCATATTATTTATTAATTATTTATGTACTTGTTTTATTGTAAATAAAAAAATAAACTTAAGGGACAAAAAACTTTTTGCTTTTCAATTGGAAATAATTGTTTAAGGAACTACTTTTTTTTTTTTAAAGAATTACACATTTGAAAAAAAGAAGGAAAGAATAAAAAAAATGATTTTTTTTAAAAAAAAGAATGAAGAATAACTTGTTGAATTGTTGTGCTGGCCAATTATTATCCGGCTGATGTTGACCTTTTCCGTGCGAAACATTAATCCGTAACAGTTCAATGCATAAATGGTCATTGTAACTGTGATCACAGTTAATTGCCCAATCCAAACGTCTTCGTATCGATGCAAATATATATATCAAATTTTGAGCGGCAGCTAATGATCGTATAAATAATCGTTCACCAGCCAACCATGTAAGAGCCCAACCAATACCTTTAATTAATGAAGTAAAAAAAAGTGGATTTCTGCCATTATTTGGTTCATTTAAAAATAAATTTTCAACAATAAATCTTCAAAAAACTTTATTGCAAATTTTAAT